TATATGTAGTAATGTATAGATAAACGTGTGTGTGTATGCGTATATGTACAATATGTATATTTTATAACTGTCATGTATATTTATAGTCAGTGGTGGATGGGTTATTATTGGAACTGCAAATAATATCAAAGACGTGTGTGAAGATTCTCAGAATGGCGATAAAATCTGTTCATAAAAAAGAATTTGTTTGCATGTCTTGGAGCAGTGCTTTGAAAATTCAAGTTGGACTGTATAAATTGTGAAGTTTTAACTGGTAAAACAACAGAACCTGATCCTCACGTGCAGACAGATCCTTTTGCATGTATTCAAATTCTGGGTTTTATAATTTATTAGACAGTAATATGAATAAATGCAAATACAACTCTCACCTCACAGACAAAATACCTTCGTCAGAACTGTGGAGGTTCACACAGCAGAGCTAAAGCCTGATCTCCACTGAGGTCCTCGCTGTAGTCTGATAGAGATGACTGAAGGGGCGCTGTGTACAATCATCTTCTAATATACAGATAAACACAGCACAAATACATGCATGTACACCTGGGGCCCCCTCACCAGGAGCCACACATGTTAAAGACACTCCCTCTAATTAGTATTAAAGAACCACCACATGCTCGATCACCATCCCAAGTTAAATCTACAGGTAGCCTGTCAGTGGCCCTGTGGCCTCTGAGAGACATGAGGGTTCCCAACGAGCTTAAAATAATCTCTAAAACACCTCGACTCAGTCTCACTTTCAGCTGTTTCACCCTGTTTTCAACCGTTTTAATTCCCTGAGTTCAGAAGAGCCGACGCGAGTCCTGCTGTTCAGGTTAAAGATCAACCCGACTGGTTTATTTTGCTGCATCTGAAGGTGAGTCACCCTGTCGCGACGTTAAAACCTCGTGGGAGCAAGCCGGCTACAGTTTTCTGGGACGGCGACGCAGTTTCTTTTCTGCAGCTGCACAAAGTTGGAACTCGCTTCTGCTGCGAGTTCAGACATTGATCCAAATTCCACACACGAAGCAGAGCGTGTCCGATTAACAGAGGCGTTTTCATAGCCGCCCCGCAGCATCAAGTCAGCGAAAGTCATCTCCGATGCACCTCGGACAAAGTGAGGCTGTTACTAACATCTTTATTTAGAAAATTAGCCTTACGAGCCAGAAATTTAATTCTCTGACTTCTGAGAAACCCTTTGACCCATATTGTCTCTGCTGGAGATATTTCTTAGGGGGACGTAACAGGAACAGGTAAAACAGGTCAAGCTTGGAGTCATTAGCTGACCCCACGAGTGTTCACCGACATTCCCGCTCTGGTTATTTCTCTCATGCATCTGTTGTTAGGGAGACAACAGGTAGTCTGATCAGGTAGATACAGCACATATCTGTGTTCTCTGGGAATCTTACAAGAAAGAAGAACTCACTGGCTCCACAGATTAGAGTACAGCTCATGGGTAGATTCCACTATGACGTAGCGTTGGAGAGTAAACATCAGATAGATCAGTTGTTCTACGTTAACGCCAGCTAAAGATCAGCTAAGAGAGAAACCTACAGGTACGAGACAGATCTTGTCCTTCAGATTTGGTGTTCGATGTGTTCACATGCTGTATGCTGGCTCAATGAACCACGCTGTGTTCAGTCTTCATCACTCCTGAACTTGGCTCACAATAATTCCTCCACAGTCTCCACTCAGGGAACTATCTAGGTCATACTGAGTTCTCTAGCTTCATTTTCAAACCAAACAGTGCTAATGTCTTCAACTCATCCCTTAAATGACTCAATAACTTTCTTACCCTCATGGGAAAACACCAGGGCAGAGTCGTCTGCGTAGAGAGAAAGATCCGTGCGTCTTAGTTACCCAGAAATTGTAATAAGCTACTTCTTAAAAAAGTAATAACTTTAGTTAAAGTAACTTCTTAGGTTACTCGTTACGTTACTACATTACTTTCCAGCGTTTCCCCACAGAATGACACCGTAACTGTGGCGAGCGACGGGGCAGAGGGAGGAGTCTCCTATTTCGACAACCCAGCTATGTTCAAACTTTGGACAGGTTTGTGCAGCGTGTTCATGAGAGAGAGAGATAATTTGATAATTATCCCATACACTAAAACGTTACTATTACGCAACTCTCTCCCGATGAGTCGGAGCATCAGTGACAGCAGCTGCTGGAGTTTCTTTCTCCAAGTTTCACGTTGCTGTGCTGCTTCAGCAGATTCAATAAATCAGATGTAGAAATGTTCGCAGTTGAAAGCTTTTTGCTGGTCGCACAGACTTTACAATGGATTATAATATTCTTTGCATCTTAGACTGTGACACAATAATGGTATCAGCTGCTTACAGCTGTGGAAAGAACGCCTCGCTCTGTCGTTCTCCATTCTTCATTTAGTGTTTGGCTCTCAGTGGACATGGACAACAGACTCTGGTGCTGCTGACATTCACACATTCAAGTCCAGGACGGTGCGTTCAGTACCGCAGCGTTACACTGATTATGACTGTTATAGAAAAGTAGTACGTTACACTACTGGTTACTGGGAAAAGTAATCCTGATCCATGACATGTTGCTGCTGCTGTGGACCTCTGCAGCAGCCGACGGTGAGGAGGTCTCACTCTGGACCAAAAAGTCACGACCGACATGAACGTTAACCGACAGAATCAACAGATTTAACCTCTAACCTATGAGAAACAGGAAGCTCGTCACACGTTCAAAAGAGAATAACTTTATTAACAGTGTTCAGTTCCACTCAACTGCTCTCTGTGGACAACTTGTCCGGGTAGAGTTTCCTGCCGCTGGACCACGAACACTCTGCGTTCTCCTTCCAGCTCGAGTCCTGCGAGTCATAGACTTCCTGTGGATCAGAATCACACCATCAATAATCAAACATCGTGATAGACACTTCCAGGCACGCAGACAGGTCAGGGGTGAAAAGGTGAGGAGCAGACGGAGGGGTCTGTCTGACGCTTACATGTACAGATAACCTGCGTTTGTCTGCTGCAACGAGAGAAAGACCGCGACATGTCGGGCGCCGCTTTGTGCTGGAAGGTGAGGACATCAGGTGTGACATATCGATGCAGATACATATTAGCTGAGGTGGAAAGAGTACTAAAATATTGTACTTTAGTAAAAGTACTGTTATACTGATGAACTTTTACTAAAGTACAAGTAAAAACAGGTCAGGATGTCTCCATCACTTTCTGAAAGCTTTTGTTAAAAATGTTCAGAACAGCAACAGGAAATGCTAAATAACAAATGAAACAATAAGAAACTGCAACTGAAATCTAGAAGAAACAAAAGTGCATCGTCCAAAAAATGTCTACAGAATGCAGGAAGTGTCCCACCATAATCTGAGCCCTCGTGTCTTCACCACTTTACAACACAAAGTGACTCAATCACAAACTTTTTAAACGTTGACCCTGTTGTTCTGCATGAAAGGTTACCAATCAGAGACTAACCACCATGTAGAGCATTTTTCTTACAATAATTTAATGAGTATCAGGCAGGCAGACCATCCAGATTGTAACCTGGCACCTTTTTCTTTCCACTCAAAGTAAAAAGCAGCTCATTTTAAATTTACGACATCACATCTGTTAGTGTTGAGGACTCCAGACCGGTCTTAGACCCTTTTAGACGGTCTGGTCTCGGACTCGGACATTGGGGACTCTGGATTTCATTTCAAGACCAGAACTTTGGGAAGTTCAATAAATAGTTTTTTCATCGTCTGATTTATTTGTTAACATCAGAACTTTGATTGGATGTAAAACGTGTTGCTTCAGATGCAAACCACAACGCTAAATAAATGTGTCGTCCCCTCCTCTGGCCGTGGACGCCGCTCGCCGTAAGTAAAATTACAGATTATACAAACGACTTTAAAAAGTACTTGTAATTCGCTCCTTTCCACCTCTGCACATCAGTTTGAGCATTAAACTCTTTATTTCCTGCATTCTGCTGAATTTTCTACCAACACTTACGGTGCAAATGATCTTATTTGTGTAAAAGGAAACGCTACGTTTAGGCAGCAGGTGACCTCTACCAGAATCTGCTCTCCTGCAGGTCAACTTCTTTCCCACGCTGAGTTCACAGGGAGAGAACGGAAACGTGTCAACCAGCTGAAAGTTACTGACCGGCTGCACGTTTCAGGGTCATTTTAGCTTCAGTTAGATAAACTCAGAGCCTTTTTTAACACCGTGTATCTGAACAAATGCGTCCGCTGTGCAAACGGTCCCGGTGACGTTACGCTGCTTCACATCTGGTCTCTAAACGAACATCGGGCTCGCTTTCCTTTAGCAGTGAAGAAGACTTGAACTAAAGCCCCGCCCTACTCTGCCTCTGATTGGCTGTCAGGTTCAGGCATTATTAACGGGTTAATGCTGTCGTGACTCATCAGATCTGCTCACAGAGGCGACCCAGTTTAGTTTGGCTAAGGAGCCTGCCTGAACGCCATCAGGACGCCATCAGGACGCAGGCTCGGACGCGTTACCTTCTTCCAGATGGGGATGTTGGCCTTCAGCTGGTTGATGCAGTGCTGGATCGCCTGCTGGCCATCTTGGCGATGAGGAGACGAGATCGCCATGGCGACGCTGGCCTGGCCCACCTCCACCCACCTGAGGGAGGAAGGTCACAGGTGAGTCTGAGCTCCTCCCCCCTCAGCTGATACTGACAGTGCGTGGAGGAAGTTCTGTCAGGGAGCCGTCTCACCCGAGCCGGTGGTGGACGCAGATGTGCGTCACGGTTGGCCAGCGCGCTCTGATGTCAGCACACAGCTTGGTGAACTCAGATTGGGCCATGAGCTCGTACGCCTCGTACTCCAGACCGACCACCTTCCTGCCGTCCACCTGGTCCTCGCGGGTCGTACCTGCACGCAGACACGCGCGTTCATGAAATTATTTCAAACATTAAATACTTACAGAAGCAGGTTCGCCACATTTCAAAATAAAAGCTCTGCGGAAACACTGAAATATAAAATATGAACCTATGAAAACTGAAATGGCGCCGCAGGACGGGCTGCTGACGGCGTCCACCACTTCCTGTACAGACAGCCCATCACGGCTCAGCTTGAAGACGTCTCTCCGCTCCGCCGACTCGGCCATCTGAGAACATGAGAGTGTCCAGGTGAGCTCAGCAGCGCTCTGATTGGTTGTCCGCAGCCTCAGAATGAATCAGCAGGCGGTTCTTTAAACGGGGACAGGAAGCGCCATCACAGACGTAACGACCTGATCAGTTTCTGTCCAGCAGGAAGCACAAGCAGCTTACCGTCTGACAGCCGGTTACCCCCCGCTGAGCGGCGGCACCACGGCCACCTCGTCCCCGTCTCTCAGGGTCACCACCTGGTTGCCGATGGCAACGTACTGCTGACGCACGGCCAGCACCACCTGACCCTGCAGGAGAGAGAGTCTGAACACAGAGACACGGGGTGTTGACGTCTCATCCTGTCTCCGCCCTGCAGCCGCCAAACGCCACTTTCATTTAAATCAAGTTGTTATGATGTCATTGAGACACAGCGTCGCAGTACCTGGGGTGTCGCTGTAGCAACAGCCTCCACAGGTCGAGGCCGCTGATTGGCGTCGGCACGGCGGCGATGTCCTCCTCCTTCAGGCCGGTCAGCTCCACGCTCTTAGCGAAGTACAACACACTCACCTGGAGGAGACACACCGCCGTCACACGTCATTAGTTCATTTGATCAAGATGAGAAATTAAGGGTCGATCAGCGTGGTCACATGGCGTCCTGATGATGAACAGACGGGAACTCTGAAGGGTCATTAAACATTATAAATAAAACTTTGTTTATAACAATAACGTATCAGTAAAGCAGCTGCTGGTTTATGAGGACCCCGGGCCCCGGGCCCCGGCTGTGACAGATGTGACCAATGAGGAGGCAGCTGAGGTCACATGACTCTGCTTTATGTGAACTCCGTCGGTCAGACGTTTAATAAAGAGGTCCAGAGAGTGATGTCATGGCTCTAGAAGCCTCTGATTGGCTGATTCTCTCCACATTAATACATCACTCATGATGACGACTTTCACCTGCGGATCTTCTTCACACCTGTACCTAAAATTATTATGTGTAACCAGAAGTTTGCAACTCAGAATCTGTTCTCAGTCAGTCTGCTGGTTAAATAAAGGTGAAATCAAAACCACGGGGGGCAAAGTCGAGGACCTGACCTCAGGTTCAGATGGTCTGTCAGGAGGAACTTCCTGTGAGGAGCCGGTGGAGGCTCCCTGATAGGTTAGACCATTTAATTTTGAAATAAAAGCTGAGTGAAGTCGCGGCGGTGACCCTTCCTGACCTCAGACAGCCGATGGTTACTCAGGTGAAACACCGAGTCTGTAACGTCCGACTTGATCTGGATCTTCCCCGTGTGGCTAAATTACCTGGTGACAGTCCCAGGTGTGGCTTCAGGATCCCTGACCTGCCAAGCAGGAAACACTGCGTGTTTATAATGCGTCTTCATGGATTCACAGGGACCCCTCCAGTCTGCTCGGTAGTTCAGAGGACTCTGGACTCATCATGGAGGTGACCGTTTAAACACTGAACATCAAGGAAGGTTCATGATGTCTGACTGGTGTCAGTGTTCTTTATGCCCGGTACTGACCCGGTCCACACTCACAGACCCGGTCCACAGACCCGGGACTGTCTGTCACCAGTTAATTCAGCCACCAGTTACACTGTCACACTGCTCGGCCATGACAGACAGCTATCAGCTACCGCCAGTGTCCATTTGAAAGTCCTCTTATTTAAATATCTCCCACCTCACCAGCAGACTTTTCTAAACAACAGGTAGAAAATGATTCCGCATTATAAAACTTATCCCTGGCTTCACTTCGGCGTCACGTTACTGTTCGATACCCGCGTTTTAAACCTGCATCTGCACCCGCTGGACGCTGTGTCCCGCTCGCAAAGCGGAGTTAAATTAAGCGGAAATGTGAACGGAGTCTGGTGGCGACGTGGTTTGGCAGGAAAGCCCGCAGCACGCGGCCGTCCGGAGAACAGCTGTGTCTCTGCTGAGGCCTCGTGAAACTCACCTGCGCAGTCATGAAGAAGGCGGCAGGTTCTGCACATCTGAGGAAACTTTACTGAAGCTTTGCCCCAAAAAGCTGTTCACCAGCTGAGCGTCACTTCCTGCCCCGCTGCTATTGGCTGCTGGAGTCAGGACGTCACCACTCCTTCTTCTTTTGGTTCACTGGCAGATTACAATAATGGCTCTTAAAGGTGCACACCGCCCCCTGCTGCATGAAGTGTGCAGCACGAGGTCTGTTGGCAGGAGTCACCTGGTGACGCTGCGGACAGCTCGATGTCTCTTCATGCATAATTAGTTTAAAATGAAAGACTTTGACAAATGTTTCTGTGCACAGTAAGAAAACATGTGATGCAGTTTATTTATAGAAAAAACAAATGTGCAATGTCCAAAACAAAAAAAGCTGCCTATTATAAACAATCTGAAAGCCAATCAGAAGCAGAGTAGGGCGGGTCCTGACAAGACGGTAACCATGGCATCGGTTCAGCTGGATGTTGTCAACCTGGACTGGATCCAGAGTTTCAGAGTTTATCTTTCATAAGGTTTTACCTGAGCTCTGTCTCTACATCACAGTAACAGCTTCATGTCCTCAGACTGCTGGAGGGGCTCTGACCTTCATTTCATTTAAATTCCACAGTGTTCAGTTCAGGAGCAGAGTTTTCTGTGGGAGATGGGAACTTCCAGATATATCCACTCAGTAAAGTGAGTTCTACTGATCGTGTTCCTGCAGGACAGGAAGTCAGCAGATCCACATTAAACACCGAGGAGGGAGTTCAGCTCAGCAGCCTTTACATTTAGAGGCTGAGCTCACAGATCAGGCTTTGGAGATGTTGGACATGAGTCTGGATGTTTTTCTTCACGCTGCAGCTTTACTGTCCTGGAAACGCTGACAGTTCATTCTTCATCTTTTGACACTGATCAGCTGACTGGAGGATGGAGGCTGTTAACTTTCTGTCCTCTTCAGGGGTCGCAGTGAGTCTGAAGACGTTAACCAGTTCATCTATCTCCCCTTTCCCTGTTACAGCTTCAGTCAAAGCTTTCCGACTCTCACTTTTCAGTTGAGCCACTCGTCTGAGGATCTTTTTAAACTTCTCCATGTGTGACAGAGTGTTCTCAGCTAGATATTTAACTGATTCTTCCTCCAGCCGTTCACACGTTGTCTTTATTTCAACCAGGTCTTTCTTCAGCGGGGCAGCAATCTCCAGGAATTCTTTCCCCAGCTTTTTTACTTCCTCTGCACTTCTGTTCTCTTCCTGTGTTTTTATTATGTTTGCACCAACAACATAAATTCCTCCTAATACTGTTCCTGCTGCTGCTCCTGCTGCTATTAACACGCTCAACCCGCCAGTAAACGGAGCTGCAAGGACTCCGACTCCAAGTCCAATTCCTCCAGCAGCAGCTCCTGTTGTTCTGACTGCATCTGTCTTCATCTGAATCTTTCTTACTTCAGCAGCGATCTTCTTAAACTCTCCTACAATCTGTCTCCTCCTGAGTTCACTGTTGTCAAATTCTCTGATGAATGAAGATGAAAGTCTTATAGGTTTGTTCATTAATTCAGAAAGATCAGGAGGCAGGTTTTTGCTCCATCTTCTTCTTGGTGTTGTAAATATACTCAGCAGTACTTCCATGATGAAATGTGTTCAGGTAACTCAAAGTTCAGTCTGCAGGTTTTCCTCTCTGCTGCTGCTCAGCTGATCAGAAAGGCTCTGTGGAGACAGAGAGAGACAGAGAGAGACAGAGAGAGACAGAGAGAGACAGGTGATACAGGTTACGATTGCTTACATACTGCAGTAAGCGTGTCGACTCATTTCCGTTTCCGGTGCTTGTGTGTTGGTACCGTGTTGTGCTGCTCTCGGTAAATAACAGTTACATTTGTTTGATTACAGCGGCCAACTGTTCGCCAAACACTTATTCTTACAGTAATTTTGCCTAAGCACTCACAGTTCTTTCCATCTTTTAGTGACTGCTGTTCAGTCTCATAGCTGTTTTCCAAAGTTTTGGTACCTGACACTACAGTACTTTAGCTTAGCAGCTAGAGATGGCTTCTCCCTCTCTCTCTCCCACTTTCTCCTGCTCGGTGTGTCAGATGTTCAGTTACTCCTCTGCCTCCTTTAGTGGTATTTCTTATCTGAATTTGCAGAGTTTTTGTCAACTTTAGTCCTTAAAACGGACAAAGTTATTATTGTAGGGGATTTTAATATTCATGTGGACGTTGAGAATGACAGCTTTAGTACTGCGTTTATCTCTTTGTTAGATTCCATTGGCTTCTCTCAGAGTGTTCATGAACCGACTCACTGTTTTAACCACACCCTCGACCTTGTTTTGGTGTATGGTATTGAAATTGAACATTTAGTGGTGTTCCCACAGAATCCCTCTTTGTCCGACCACTGTTTGATAACTTTTGAGTTTGTATTGCTGAACTACTCGCCATTGGGCAAAAATTTCTATACAAGATGTCTGTCTGATAGTGCTGTAGCTAAATTTAAGGATGCGATTCCATCAGCTCTAAATTCATTATCAAGTCACAAAGTAACGGAGGACTCCTATGCTAATTTCAGTCCCTCCCAAATCGATCATCTTGTTGATAGTGCTGCAGGCTCGCTGCGAATGACACTCGACTCTGTAGCCCCTCTAAAAAAGAAAATACTAAAACAAAGACGGTTAGCTCCATGGTATCATACTGAAACTTGAGAGGAATTGGCGTTCCACCAAACTGGAAAATTCTCGTTTAATTTGGCAAGATAGTCTTAAAACTTATAGGAAGGCCCTCCGTAATGCCAGAGCAGCGTACTACTCGTCATTAATAGAGGAAAATAGGAACAACCCCAGGTTTCTTTTCAGCACTGTAGCCAGGCTGACAGAGAGTCACAGCTCTATTGAGCCAAGTATTCCCATAGCTCTCAGTAGTTACGACTTCATGAGCTTCTTTAATGATAAAATTCTAGCTATTAGAGACAAAATTCACCAAGACCTGCCCTCAACTGGCACCGACTTATCTCTTAACTCAGGAACCTTAGAAACAGCTGTAGAACCAGATACATGTTTAGACTGTTTTGCTTCCCTCAATCTTTACCAACTAACTTCAATAATTTCTTCATCTAAACCATCAACCTGCCTCTTAGACCCCATCCCGACTAGGTTGCTTAAAGATGTTTTACCCTTAGTCAGCACTTCTATACTAGATATGATCAATCTATCTTTATCAACAGGCTATGTACCACAGTACTTTAAAGTAGCTGTAATTAAACCTCTTCTGAAAAAGCCCAAACTTGATCCGGATGTTTTAGCCAACTATAGACCTATATCTAACCTTCCATTTCTCTCTAAGGTTCTGGAGAAAGCAGTTGCTAAACAGCTGTGTGACTTTCTACAGAGCAATAGTTTATTTGAGGATTTTCAGTCAGGATTTAGAGCTCATCATAGCACAGAGACAGCACTGGTGAAAATTACTAACAACCTCCTTATTGCATCAGACAAAGGACTTGTCTCTACCAGTACAGAGACAAGTCCTTTTATTAGATCTTAGTGCTGCAATTGATACCACTGACTATCAGATCCTATTGCAGAGACTGGAATATTTCATTGGCATTAAAGGAACCGCTCTAAGCTGGTTTAAGTCCTATTTATCAGATCGATTTCAGTTTGTACATGTTAACAATGAGTCCTCCATGCACGCCAAAGTTAGTCATGGAGTTCCTCAAGGATCTGTCCTTGGACCAATCCTCTTCACTTTATATATGCTTCCTTTAGGCAATATTATCAGGAAACATTCCATAAGCTTTCATTGTTATGCAGATGATACTCAGTTATATCTATCGATCAACCAGATGAAACTCATCAGTTAGCTAAACTTTAAATGTGCCTTCAGGATGTTAAAACCTGGATGACCTGTAATTTTCTCATGTTAAACTCAGATAAAACTGAAGTTATTGTTCTGGGGCCTAAGCACCTCCGTGACGCATTATCTAAAGATATAGTTTCCCTGGATGGCATCGCCTTGGCCTCCAGCACCACTGTGAGGAATCTTGGAGTTATCTTTGATCAGGTCGTTTAAGTCTCACAAATTTCAAGGGCCGCCTTTTTTCACCTACGTAATATTGCGAAAATCAGGAACATCCTGTCTAAAAATGATGCAGAAAAACTAGTCCATGCATTTGTTACTTCTAGGCTGGATTACTGCAATTCCTTATTATCAGGCTGCTCGAAAAAGTCCATTAAGACTCTTCAGCTGATCCAGAATGCTGCAGCACGTGTTCTGACAGGAACCAGGAAAAGAGATCACATTTCTCCTGTTTTAGCTTCTTTGCATTGGCTTCCAGTAAAATCCAGAACATAATTTAAAATCATTCTTCTTACCTACAAAGCTCTTAATGGTCAGGCACCATCTTATCTTAAAGAGCTCATAGTACCTTACTACCCCACCAGAGCACTGCGCTCCCAGAATGCAGGGTTACTTGTGGTTCCTAGAGTCTCCAAAAGTAGACTAGGAGCCAGAGCGTTCAGCTATCAAGCTCCTCTCCTGTGGAACCAGGTTCCAGTTTGGGTTCAGGAGGCAGACACCATCTCCACATTTAAGAGTAGGCTTAAGACTTTCCTCTTTGATAAAGCTTATAGTTAGGACTGGCTCAGGTGAGTCCTGAACCATCCCTTAGTTATGCTGCTATAGGCCTAGACTGCCGGGGGATTTCCCATGATGCACTGAGCTCCTCTCTCCTCTACTTTCTCTCCCTCTGTATGCAACCTCATCCCATTATTGCATGTTACTAACACAACTTCTCCCCTTTCTGGTAGTCTTGTGCTTTCTCGTCCCTCTCCTCTCTCCTATCACTTCCTGCAGGTGTTTCTGGCTCTGGAGCTGTGGAGTCTGGATCTGTGGTTGCAGGTCACCTGCTGCCCCCGTGTTCCTGCTCGACACCCTCTGCTGCAACGACTATTGTTACTAGTCCTATTGTTATTATTGTTATTATAATCATTAACATTACTATAAATATCTGTACCATTTTTCATTTAGTCTATAGCAACATCACCTTTACTGTCTGTACCTCTGTGTGGATATTGTGTAGGCTGCCTCCCTCCCCTCTCTCTCTCCTTACATCCCTCTCTCTCTCTCTCTCTCTCTCTCGCCCACCCTGAGTCATGGTTCTGCTCGAGGTTTCTGCCTCTTAAAGGAAGTTTTTCCTTGCCTCTGTCTCCTAGTGCTGCTCTTGGTGGGAACTGTTGGGCTTCTGTAAATAACATCATAGAGTTCGGTCTAGACCTGCTCTTTATGAAAAGCGCTGTGATAACTGTTGTTGTGATTTGAAGCTATATAAATAAAATTGAATTGAATACCGTCATCATTTATGAGAATTCATAATATGTTAAACAGTCTACCTGCCCTATACTCTGCTGTGCATAGGCCTGCATTGATGTTCTGCTGATTTGGCCCCTTCAGACCGTCTGCAGACACAGAAATGTTTGGGACTGGACTACTGGATGAGAGGAGGAGGTAGACAAACAAAACTTACTTGAAACCCTTTTGATCAGACAAATCTCACCACAAATTCACATAAATGTTCAGTTCAGCACCTCAGATAAAGTGCAGCTCAGAATCCCAAACACAGCAAGTCTGCGCCTCAGATTTTAGATGTTTATTTTGCAAAACTCTTTCATTAGATGACATGTTTAAAATATGTTTTAATGATAATAATACATTCATAATCCTCTCCTGTAACCATCACCTTATCGTGGTGGAGAGATCTGCGTGCCCCGGTGAGCCTGGAGGCTGTGTTGTCTGGAGCCTAACACTCCTGGTAGGGTCTCCCAAGGCAAAGTGGTTCCAGGTGAGGGACCAGACTGAGAATGGTTAATAATAAAGTAAATAAAGTAATAAAGACGCCTGATAAAACAATGAGGAAGAGGAGAAGAGACCCTGCCCGGAGGAAGCCCGGGGCCCCCGTCTGGAGCCAGGCCCAGAGGGAGGGCTCGCCGGTGAGCGCCTGGTGGCCAAACAAACGTTTAACTGGACCATTGCCTGGATCAGGGTGATTAGGCCTCCCTCACGAAGAACTCTATCTCCCAAGACAGAACCACACAACTAAAATGGGGGCAGACGTGAACTGGGTTTTGAGTTTGACAAATGCAGTTTGGGCTTTAAATTGCTGAAGTTGCTTTCTTGTTATAGGGACCGACCTCCCCACTACTGCCTTGATCTTGCCTAGATCTGCCTTCATCTGCCCACTCCCAATGATGTATACCAAAAAACTTACATAGATGGAGTGGAATTTGCTCTGCAATCTGTTCTCCAGCAGCCGCTGGAGTACCTGGCAGACATGGAACATCTTCTGAGAGACTTCTAGAAAAATCAAAATGTCAAGATAGACAAAGCGGTTCAAGAAGTTTGAGTACATCATTGACAAAGTTTTGAAAGGCAGCTGGGTTAGTTGACCCAAAGGGCTTTACCTGGTACTCAAAGTGACCAAGGGGGGTGTTGAATGCAGTTTTCCATTCATCTACTTCCTTTATTCGTACCATGTGGTATGTGTCGGAGATCCAACTTGGAAAGGTGGTGGCCTGCTGTAGTGGTTCGAAAGCTGAACTGATTAGTGGCATGAGTGCTTGTTTTTAACAGAGATGCTGTTGAAGCTGCGTTAATCAAAACAGGGGAGGAGAGTTTCATCTTTCTTCTCAACATAGAAGAAACCCGCACCAACAGTGGAGGAGGATGGACAGATCAGACCAGCTTTCAGGGAGTCCCAAATGTGAATTTTCATGGCCTCTCTTTCAGGACGAGACAGATTATAGAGTCTGCTTGATGGGAGTGGGCTGTCAGGGAGCAATTTAACTTTGATCCAGACTAGCCCACCAGAACTGGCCCCCAATATAAAATCCCCACAGGACAGAGAAATGTTGACATTCAGAGCTTCGCTATCATTAAGCACAAGATTTGAGATTTTCCACAAGCTAGTTTGAACACACAGTTCCTGTACTCTTTACCTTGTTTTTTCTTCCTGGTACATTTACAAAACTGTAGCTGACCAACAGAATTTGCATTTCACTGATAGATTCTGATAACATGTTGTATTAACACATTCAGATGCATACCGTTCAGCTGCACACTGGCTTCACTGTCCTCTCTGTCTACTCTTTCACCCGTGATTCTTCCTCTTCCCGTTCTTAGTGTCTGTGGTACTAGTACTACTACTACTACGGAACGAGTCTGTTACAATTTTACATTTACTTGCATTTCAGCGAATACCTTTAACTCTTGTGTCTGAACTTTTCAGCCCAACCTTTTCAGCACTCCCCCCCACCACAGTATTAACATACCTACAGTTATGGAAAACACCCATCAGCTGAACGTGACTCAAATGGATGGTATTAAAGATTTATTGTGATTAATGAGAGTTTACATTTTATTCTGACTACTAAAGAATACCTGATGATGTATTGATGATTTATATTGAATATATGTTCAATTTATTTACACATTGAAAGTCAACAAATCATAATAAAAAAATGTACTTGAAAAAAATAATTAAACAGACAAATCACAGCTCAAAACTCAAATAAAAACAAACATTTACAAAAAAATTATTCAAATCTTCTCAGTTAACGGCACAAACAGAACGAAAAGCCTGTAATATGTCAATAAAAAGAGGAAATCTCCTCGACCTGTTAAACAAAGTGATTGTATGAGAATGAATGAGAACAAAGAGAGCAAATGAAAGAAAATGAGTGAAAGAGAAATGTGAGCTGACTTCAGATCAGAGTTAGACAATAAGAAGTCTAAAATGAAGCTGCTGAAGGAAAAGTGAGCTCAGCTACTGACGTCACTGCAGATATCAAGCAGACACATCAACAGATATATCCACTCAGTAAAGTGAGTTCTACTGATCGTGTTCCTGCAGGACAGGAAGTCAGCAGATCCACATTAAACACCGAGGAGGGAGTTCAGCTCAGCAGCCTTTACATTTAGAGGCTGAGCTCACAGATCAGGCTTTGGAGATGTTGGACATGAGTCTGGATGTTTTTCTTCACGCTGCAGCTTTACTGTCCTGGAAACGCTGACAGTTCATTCTTCATCTGATCAAACTGATCAGAGACTTTCTGACACTGATCAGCTGACTGGAGGATGGAGGCTGTTAACTTTCTGTTCTCTTCAGCAAAGATTGTGAAGACATTCCGAATGAGCATCACCAGTTTACCCATCACCCCCATCACTAATACAGCTACATCCACAGCTTCCTGACTCTCTTGATTCAGTTGAGCCACTTGTCTGAGGATCCTCTGAAACTCCTCCATGTGTGACAGAGTGTTCTCAGCCTGAAATGCAGCTGATTCTTCCTCCAACCGTTCACACGTCCTCTTTATTTCTTCCAGCTCGTTCTTCAGCGGTTCAACAATCTCCAGGAATTCCCCCCCAAGATTTAATACTTTCTCTGCACTTTTGTTCTCTGTGGTTTTTTTTTTGTTTGCAGCAGAAACTGCTATTGCTACTGATATTGCTCCTACTGCTGCTACTGCTGCTACTGCTCCTCTTCCTCCTCCAACTAAGCTCAACTTCAAAATCATTGAAATTACAAAGATGATGCCTGTGAATATCTTGTATTGTGTAATCTTCTGCATCTTTCTGACTTCAGCAGTGATGTTCTGAAACTCTCCTACAATCTCTGTCCTCCTCTGTTTACTGATGTCAAATCCTCTGATAAATGAAGTTGCATGTTGGATGAGTTTGTTCATTAATTCGGACAGATCAGGAGGCAGGTCTTTGCTAAATCTTTTTCTTCTTGGTTCTGAGGCCATTGTCAGGTAGAGTTTCTCTGCTTCTAAGTCAAAGTTCAGTCTGCAGGTTTTCCTCTCTGCTGCTGCTCAGCTGATCAGAAAGGCTCTGTGGAGACAGAGAGAGACAGGTGATACAGGTGATACAGGCGATACAGGTGATACCCACTCAGGTGTTTCCACTCAGGTTGTTCATGAAGTCAGCTGTCTGTCATCAGGAAACAAACACAAGGACTGTGGCTGCGGAACAGGGAGGAGACCATGAAACTGGTTTAGTGCTGGGGGGAGATTCATCAACGTCATGAATTATAAAAATACTTTGATTAACATGATGTGCGTTGCTGCACCTGGGTCTGTATTTATCAAGCTTCTCAAAGAGTCATTTTAGTGCTTCAGAAATCTTCAGTGCTGAGAAATCATGAAATTTACTTTCAAACATATGAAAGCAAGTTCTCAAATGTCCTAAAGCTTCCTCTCCCCAGTATTTCAGAAGCTCCAGAGGTCTCTCTGTGGTCAGGAGCTGCCAGCAGGGCTGTGATGGACTGAGGAGACAGAAACGTGGATCTTTCTGGAGAGGAAGAATGTTTCTGAAATATTTGATGACCTTCAGTTATTTCTACAGTATCATTTGGACGCACCAGGCCTCATGTTTGTCAGCGAGTTAGTGAGGGACGTCACCGCTTACTTCACGCAGCGACATGTTTTCAGCTGAACTGAAGGTGGTGATGACAAACGCAGCAGTGCTCTGATAATTTGAGGACATCACAACCTTCAATAAGCCGAATCATCATGAAAACAGGCTCAAAAGGCCACAACAAAAGGGAGACACACCATGGTAAAAGAAAACAAAATGTTTATTTAAACCAAAATGAACCAAATTAAGAAGTATTTCAAACTAACATTAAAGTATGTAGTCTGTGCAGGATGATGGTTGCATGGGTGTATGTATGAAAGTACAACGCAACAGTCCAACCAAAGAAAACCAAACTAAAGAGAAAACCAGGGAGTCGGCCGCATGGAGATCTGACCTGGTCTTGACAGCAGCTACCTTTGCCGAATGAGAAAACAGTCTCAAATACTCTTCAGGGCAATTAGCCCAGGTGCCCAGAGCCACTGCAATCAGCTCCTCCTCCATGAGAGAGAGACAGGCCACACAGGGCATCACAGTGGCGGAGCAAAGTGTCAAGAATCAGCTCTGAGGCACTTAAAATTTATTCCTACACTTCACTGAAATCAGCACTGAGATGGTTGATAACTAACTTTGAAGGTTTTTACTATGCAGTCAGTTCTTAGCAGAGTTCTTCTGAGTAACTGAGAGAAGCTTGATAAATACAAGTCCTGGTCTCAGCAGGAGAACAAGCTGCAGCTGGAAAACTTCTCCAGAAACAAACTGAATCTAAATCAACTCAGTTATTTTTATTTCTTTTCTTTATTGAGAAGGACGACACACATTAATCACCAGGGGCGTTTTTAGGATCATGAAACATTGGGGTCTTAGCCCAGCCCATAAAAGTTCATATCTTCACATAATAATTGACCCTCCACCAAGCAGTAAAGCAACAGTAAACATCCTCTGCTTATACGGCAGAACATAACTCACAATAACACTGTTAACTGTGCCATTCTGATGTTGCTAAATTGTAATGTCATGTCTGTAATTATAATAATATAACAACAAAACTGCGACAGTATGAACAGGGGGGTCTGGTGGTACTCCCCCAGAAAATTGTGAGTGTTAAAGACTTAATTTCCTGCATTCTGGTGTTTTTCTGCATCAGTTTATGGTGGAAATTATTTATGTAAAGGGACACACAAATGCAGGAAGCAGCAGGGGGCTGAATCTTTGTTTCACTGGCTGCTTTTAAATGACTTGAAGGCTGGCAATTCTGCCTTCAGATGTTCTGACTGTTTACTCGTTTGATTGTCCTTGTTGCTGAATTGTGGTGAATATTTAAGAACATGTTGATATTTTATGACTTTGTAACTGATTATTATTGTAACAGAATATAATGCAGAGCAGCTGTCAGCTTTCAGATATGTTTCTCCTGTAGATCAACTTTTAATATCATCACTGCTGAATCAACGCAGACGTGACTGATTGAGGTAACCTCTTTAAATGTGCATCCGTGTGGAAGGGATCCATAGCACGGGTTGCACCACTACTATCCATGGTAGTGTGGGGATCACAGCTCCTGTGTGTCCTCATGAGGAAAGAGCAAGATGGCTATCAGAGTAAAAATGGACTGTCTATTGCCTCAGACTAGGCAACTTGATGACTTTATTTTTTTAAGTAACCCATTAAAATATTCCTGCAAATGCAGTGAAGAAGCTGATTATCTGTAATTTAGCTATTTCTAAAATTAGTTTCCTTTTTAAATCTCCATGAACTTATTGATAAGAGCACTTTTAAATATCACTTTAGCTGCCCAGCCAACTTTTGTTGCCTGTGCCTTTTATTATGGACATGTAGCCAACCAAACCTGTTGCTTTGCAGCAGCACAGGCTGCCAGTAAAATCTGATTATTCCAGTGGCAGTAACATGAGACCAGCTCGTTGTTGAAGCAGGTAAAGCTTCATACAGAGGAAGCTGTGCGTCATGCGTAAAACCCAACAGGACTGTTTTATCCATCATATTTCCTCTCTCTCTCTCTCTCTCTCTCTCTCTCTCTCTCTCTCCCACGCGTGTAACATTAGTTAAGTGAGTAAACTTCAATTTGTTTGTTTTTTAAAAATCCTTCTGAGATCCGGGGGCCGCTGTAAATCAACATCACTGGAAATGTCAGTGTTAGCCAGCTGGCTCATTTTCTACTGCAGGAGGATCTGAAACCTCTTTGGTGCCAGAGATTACCTCACTGCATGAAATAATATACATCATTTATATATTTAAGTCATATTTCATCATCCTATTAGAGCTGAAGTACAGAGTTTAAATTCATCTGACAGACAGAGTCTGATGTTATTATTGTCAGAACACAGCAGTGACGGGAATTAGACTAAAACATTCCTTTATTTTCATTTTTCTAACAGTCAAAGTTTCTGATATTTCTTTTGGACACATTAAAACTTACTCACCCTTTACCATCTATTCATGATACAGCAGTAAAGAAAGAAGTCAAATATCTGGGGATTTCCGTTTCTGAGCATTTTACCTACAAAGAGGAAACGGATCCGGAACATAATCTGATCCATGACAGCAAAGGTGAACTACATGTATCATGTAGAGTGTCGGGAAGCAGCTACAGAGCGAGCTCTGTCGTTTCCTTCTCAGCTTTGTTGACTTTCACATGGGCTGTACAGATCAACGCCAACCGAGGCTCACCTGTCTGCCCTGCGGTGGCCTGTTCCACCAAGCGGGGTACCTGGCTGATCCAGTAACTTCAGGCGGAACTTCCCGGTTAACCTGTAGGGGAGACCAGGGGCAATTGTAACAATTTTTGGTTTCTTGGTAATAACTCAAAAACTTCTTGAACTAATTTTATAGAGGTAACTTGTACCTGTGTTTTACTTGTTAACAGTCATCAAATGTTTTTACAAGCAATGTTAAAGTCACAATATTGATTCAAACACTAGATGTAAAATGTTACATCTGCCCCCACATGCAGGGGCGATTGTAACAACACACATAATTCCTTCATATAAACACCAAGGATCAAAATAACCTACCAAGAATATAGATATAGTAAAAACAATTTAAGACCCATTGATATTACTGCTTAAAACTTCTCCTTTGCTATTAAGTGGACACACGACAAATGTCATAGCACCGAGTTGCCCCTCAACACATCATCGGAGGCAACATCCCTATCAAATGGATCCCCAAATTGAGAGGCAAAAACCTGAACCTCTGGACTATGCCAATAAGTATTAGGCCTATTGATAACACATTATACATAGTAAAGTAGGTTATAGATCATAAATATACATAAATGTTTAAACTGAACATTATTAGAAAGATGCTATTATCGATTCTTTTTTATATTGAGCTTCAATACAGTGCTACTGTTACAAAACAAAAATATGTTGACAGATTATTATTACAGTATTTAACATTGTGACAACTTCTCATTTGTAGACACTGAAGATATTAAAAGCATGAGCAGGAATAAAACTATATATTTTTATGTTCTTTCTAAGCCGGACACTGTTTTAATTGTAATTATTAAACCTCCATGACAAGCTACCCTGCTGGCTAGAAACAATGAAGTTTATATTTGACAAAGATATCAACTGTTAGACAACAGAATGATGATCAAAAAAAATTAAATTCATAGACATTAATGGTTATGACAGTATGAGAAAATGACTGTAGATGAAAAAAATTACTTTCATAGCTCAAAAATGACTCTTGTCATTGTATCCTGGGCTTGTCCTACGGCAGGCAGAGAGAGATGGTCACAGAGAGCGTGCATGATAAGTTTCATGATTCTATCTTGTTTCTGATTGGTGCAGTTTGAGATGTTACAATTGCCCCCAGTCTCCCCTACTACAAAAGGTGGACAGGTGTTACCCGAGGTCTGTTGCCATGGCACGCCGCATCCCTAAACTGCTCCGAGCAGGTTTTGTTGGTGGTTAACTTGAGGTTACCCTGCACGTGGACTCCACACCAAGTCTGTACTCTATGTTAATGATGACAAGTATTAATACACACAACTTCATAAAATTTGTTTAGATTTGTTCCTGATTTGTTCCACTGAAGTTCTGAACACAACAGCATCACGTTCAGACAGCAGTGTTTTCACATTATTTGATTGAATATTTTATCGTGTCCAAAAAATACGGAGCCAGGGGTTAATAAACTGAGAAAAAACCTCCTAGATGAAAGTGTGAAATTTACAGGAACAAAAATCAGAAATTCCCTGAAATTAATATCATAAAAAATCAAAAATCACTCTGTTTTCTTCTGAATATGCCCAATCCAAAGTCTGTGAGGTGCATGGTAGTGATTGTGAGCTAAACTCAGGAGTATTTCCTCACTGCTAAATCCTATAGCAAAGTTTAATGTAACTTTCCACTGCATGCATACTATACAGCAGACGTGTGTGATGTTGCAGCCTTGCAAAGTGAAGTTTCTCTCATAAGTGTGTGACTATAATGTCAGAGAATATTCAAGTTTTTTACTTGTAGATTAATGGTGGAAATAAAGTTTTGTCTGGGATTATTCCCCCTTATGTGCAGTTTTACCTTTACATCTTCATCATATTACACATAAAAGAAGAGCCCATAAAATACATAATAGAGATTTGAACTACAAGAAGAACACTGTGAAGATAATTAGGCTACAAATTAACTCAATGCGATTCAAACAAGCTCCCTGGCTTTGTCGACCGCCATGATATTAGATTTAGACGTTAACTTGTCTTTACATTCAGAATTTCCTGACACTACCAACGTAGTAGGACTGTTCCTCAGGCTACGTACTGTACAGTATTTGCGAACAGCTACATCCTGAAGTTCATTGTCAAGGTCTACAATGAATAAACAGTCTTCAGTTAAGATCTAGACCTTTGGATGTAAAGGCAGCTACTTTAGCAATAATGAAAAAAGGATGACTCTCATAATCATCTGATTTAGCCGTGACAAACCTTTTATTTAGGAATAATAAAGCCAGAATAAAGCGCAGTGGCACTGAGCTGATAATGTGCAATGAATAAAATTATTTACAGTTAATCTTGCGTTGCAGCTAAAGCACCCGTCTCAAGTAACAGGCTACAGTTATGTAATAATGTCACATATGCTGGATATGAAGGTGGATCAAACACAGCTAATCTTAAATGTTTAATGGGGTACAGATGAGCACAGTATTTATTTAATTTTTTTAAGTTACACACATTACATAAGACTAATCACTAATCACAAGATCGCTGACGTAATTGCTGACGTAATTGCTGACGTAATCTGCACTCTGCACATGCGTTGACGTCTGTAGCCACCTAGCGGAAGCTCTGTCTTAAACCGGACTCTTATTCAGTTTTAATCCACTCTTTTTCGTTACATTTTTTACATCCTTTTTTTTGACTGAGGCACTGGGTGGGGATCTCTGGTACTGCCCTAGAATGGTTTTCATCCTACCTGTCAAATAGGAAGTTTTGCGTGTCTGTAAACAACTATGTCTCCTCGTTCTGTCCAGTTAAATATGGTGTGCCTCAGGGGTCGGTCTTAGGACCCATTTTGTTTTCCTTGTATCTGCTTCCCCTTGGACATATTATCCATAAACATGGCATTTCTTTTCATATTTATGCTGATGACACACAAATATACTTGCCCGTCAGATCCACAGACCCTGGAATGCTGAGTTCACTTAACAACTGCCTTTGTGAAGTAAAAAAATGGATGTCAAATAATTTCCTCCAACTGAACTCAGACAAAACAGAAATCCTGGTCATCGGGTCTCAGCAGATGGCAAATCAAATACTGCCATCTGCTGGTTCCCTAGTAAATCACATTAAGCCTGTGGCAAAGAACCTTGGTGTTTGGTTTGATAGTAATTTAAATTTCAAGCAGCACACCACAAAGCTTGTTCAATCGTGTTTTTATCAACTTAGAAATATAGCAAAAATTCGATCTATGTTAACTTTTAAGGACACCGAGACCTTTTTACACGCCTTCATCTCATCACGCCTGAATTATTGCAACATCCTTTTCACCTGTTTAACCCAAAAATCTATTGATCGACTCCAGACTGTCCAGAACTCAGCTGCCAGGCTTTTAACCAGAACAAAGAAATATGACCACATTACTCCTATTTTAGCTTCATTACACTGGCTCCCAGTATGTTTTAGAATTGACTTTAAAATTCTATTGATCACTTTTAAAGCTCTTCATGGCCTCTCGCCTTGTTATATTTCTGACCTTTTAGTCCCATACGCACCAGCACGTACCTTGAGATCCTCGGGCAGAGGTCTGTTGTCTGTTCCAGAGTCTCGACTGAAAACTAAAGGGGACAGAGCGTTTGCTGTCAGGGCCCCGAGGCTCTGGAACAGCCTGCCCGAGGAAATCAGGTCGGCTGAGTCAGTGAACTCTTTTAAGTCCCTTCTTAAAACAGACTTTTATAGGAGAGCTTTTCCCGATCTTATTTGACTTTATTTTATCCCTTTTATTTTATTGTATTTTTACTAATTTTATATAGTTTAAACGTGTATTTTAGTCTTTTCATTGTTTTCATGCTTTTATCTTGTATTGTTTTTGTATTATTGTCTCTGTCTCAGTGTTATCCTGTAGTTACACAGTATTATTAGGGCTGTATTAAAGTATCCAGTGTACTCTATAATCACATCTGTGCTGTTCTCCCAAAGCAACACATCAAATAATTGTCACTGGTTCAGTGCAGCTAACTTTAAATCAGAATAAAATCATATAAAACATGGTTTAATAACAATCACATTTAACAGAAGCATAAAATTCGGCTTAATAATAACGTTAAGTATCAAGATTTTTTTAGTCACAGTTATTAGCTTAGTCTCTGGCATTTTACGGCGCATTAATTAACCTAGCAGCTAGCGGAGTTTTCCTCTCCTCATAGCTTAACAAATTCCATGTATTATTTAAACTTTGTCTGACTGACGCTGGTAAAGTCGCTGCATCTCCCGACACCACGGTTGAATTTTCAGCCTGAACGTAGGTTTTGTACAGCAGCTGGTCGTAGTGAGAGCACCAAGCTGGAGGACCGCCGAGTCGTTTTCAGGCGGCAGAAGATCTGCTGCTGGGCGCGTGACGTAAACACGTAAGCGCGAGCCCTCCCTGAACCCACAGAGACGCATTGCAGCGCCGGCAGCTCGAGTCTTTGAGAGCGATCTGGGCGATTTACAACCAGACTGAAAGCCCACCAAAAGAGGCAGAACTCCCCGGAACAGGACTTGAAGCTCATTGGACAGCGATATTCAGAGACAGTCTGTCAAAAACAGTCACAGCTGACTAACAGCGTGGTAGAAAAATATCCCCTGCCTTTGCCGACCTAATGAACAAGTCGCCCCAAGTTAACTCTGAGTAGGTTGTGGTTGTGGCTCCATGGGGCTTTATAGCACCCTGATGGAGAAAGACCCAGAGGGGAATTTGTGCATTATACTTTGTCTATTAGAGCAAACCAGGCAGCCTTCTGTGTTTGAGAACTAAAATCTCCCAGTAGAGGGCAGCAGCGCCGCAATAACCAGACAGGTTAATGTGAAGGAAATGATGAGTTCATTTTAAAGAACGAGATCTGAAGACTCGAGTCTGTCAAAAGACTTTTCCCATCACTACTCTGAATATAAACCTACTTAGAAGAAGTTCTGTTCTCTAAGTTTGTTCTGCTCATCTCTGTGAACCTTGAGCAAAGGAAGTTGATGCTGAGAGCAGCAGAGCGGAAAACAAGCTTCACAACGGAACAAGGTGAACTGAAGTAAAAGTTAAGTCCTGCAGGACCCGCAGAGAGACCTGGATCTTCTACAGAGCCACAAACTGACGAAGCAACAACAAGGACACAAAGCTGAACGCGGGTCCTGGAGTCTCCTGGAAAACCGGGAAATTTAAACTCACCTGCTTCTGGAGGAGCGGCGTGAGGCGCGAGGAACCCGTTACTCTGAATCCACGTGATCACAAAACGAAACTGCAGCTGGAGAGGAAGCATCAAACCAATGAGCGCCCGGCTGCAGGACCGTACTCTATGAAGTTATTTACAGAAGCCCAACAGTTCCCACCAAGAGCAGCACTAGGAGACAGAGGCAAGGAAAAACTTCCTTTAAGAGAGAGAGAGAGAGAGAGAGAGAGAGAGAGAGAGAGGGGAGGCAGCCTACACAATATCCACACAAAGGTACAGACAGTGAAGGTGATGTTGTTATAGACTGAATGAAAAATGGTACAGATATTTATAGTAGTGTTAATGATAATAATAACAATAATAAAATTAAAGCTGCAAGCAGTGTTGGGCGGGCCCTCGCACTTGTAAGCGCGTCCGCGCGTGAGCCGGCCGAGTTGCACATTCTGGAGTTCTGCCGGTGCGGCTGTGAATTTCCTACGCGGTTCCGACGCCGCATGAATGTGCTATATGTCACTTCCTGTGTCCCCTATGTGGAGCTACATAGCACTTGCCGCTATGAATATAAATCGGTATTGGTGTGTAGATGTCTGCGGGGTGGGAGAGTTATCAAGCACGTAAAGTTTGTTTCAGATGTGAACATGTACACTGAAGTTACAACAACTTAGGGTTAGGGTTCTTTGGAAGGGTTCTACTCTGTAAAATGGACAGTTTGTCCAGACTCATTTACCCGGCCCTTTCTTTACCCATATCAGCGAGTATGATCAAAACAGTGAATAAAATAAATTCTTATTTCATATGGAGAAATAGATGCCATTATATAAGGAAAACTGATATGGTTCAAAGTTATGAAGACGGCGTATGAATGTGATTGATTTTGATATTATGAATGGTGTTTTGAAATTGAAATGGTTAAACTCCTTCCTTGAAAATAGACAATCTTTTTGGTTTACTGTCTCTAATACCGTTTTTCAAAAGATGGGTGGAATAGATTTTTTTCTCCGGTGTGATTATGATTGCAGGTCAATCAATACCTGTTAAACTCTCTGCTTTCCTTCTTTACTGGAAGCTAATATATAAACACAATTTTACTCCTCACAACACACCAGTGAGGAATAACAGATGCATTTTGGTTAATAGAAAATCTTTGTACATTGAGGAATGGAGGTCTAAAGGGGTTTGGGCAGTTGTTCATTTTATGGATGATAATGTAAATGTGTTAGTGCATGAAGAGGTTTGTATAAAATTTCAACTTCAGTGTTCTGCCAAATACTATAATAGAGTAATCAAAGACATACAAATCCCTTTCAGATTCTTCTGTGCTCCTCCTGGGTTGAGGAAGCTTTGTTTTGATGGAATTGACTTTTGTGTTGATAAATGTACCAACAGAGTTTTTAGAAACCTTCTGCTTAAGGAATGTTATCCCAACCCACTATGAAGGACATATGTTTTCAGGGAATTCAGAGTTGAAAAGGTGAAAAAATAATTTCCACTTTTCCACTTCCTCCCAAGGTAAAAGAAGTGAACTTCAAAACAAAACAAATTTTTGAGAGTGAGATATAATTTTCATGTGAATAACTGTTTTTTGTGAAAGGGAAGTTGAGAGCTTGGAACACCTGTTTTTTTTTATTGTGAATTTGTGCAGTCCTTCTGGTGTGATGTGTGGAGCTGGCTACAGTCCAAGGAGATTGTGTCTTCACCATTGACAGTAGAGTTAGTTAAATTTGGTTTGTTTGTGGGAAACAAGGATTTGGATTTTGTCCTTAACGTTGTGATGCTACGGGGGAAATCCTTTATACATAAATGTAGGTTCTTTAAGACTAAACCTGCTTGAACCTTTGGAAAAATGAGATAAAAGGTTTGAATAAGTCACTGAAACTTGTAAAAAACAAGAAAGCACTAAAATTGGTTTCATTATTAAGCAGATTCAGGATAATTTGAGAAAGCCCTACCTTTATTTTTTTATTTATTAATTATTATTATTCTTTTTTTTTTTTTTGCTCTGTTCATTCATTTACTGTATTATTTGCTTTATCATTTGATGTCCGCTTTGTTCTTTGCTTAACCTGATGTAAAGGATGTAAAGATAGATGTGATCAGATGCCTGATTTGGCAAGATAGTCTTAAAACTTATAGGAAGGCCCTCCGTAATGCCAGAGCAGCGTACTACTCGTCATTAATAGAGGAAAATAGGAACAACCCCAGGTTTCTTTTCAGCACTGTAGCCAGGCTGACAGAGAGTCACAGCTCTATTGAGCCAAGTATTCCCATAGCTCTCAGTAGTTACGATTTCATGAGCTTCTTTAATGATAAAATTCTAGCTATTAGAGACAAAATTCACCAAGACCTGCCCTCAACTGGCACCAACTTATCTCTAAACTCAGGAACCTTAGAAACAGCTGTAGAACCAGATACATGTTTAGACTGTTTTGCTTCCCTCAATCTTTACCAACTAACTTCAATAATTTCTTCATCTAAACCATCAACCTGCCTTTTAGACCCCATCCCGACTAGGCTGCTTAAAGATGTTTTACCCTTAGTCAGCACCTCTATACTAGATATGATCAATCTATCTTTATCAACAGGCTATGTACCACAGTACTTTAAAGTAGCTGTAATTAAACCTCTTCTGAAAAAGCCCAAACTTGATCCGGATGTTTTAGCCAACTATAGACCTATATCTAACCTTCCATTTCTCTCTAAGGTTCTGGAGAAAGCAGTTGCTAAACAGCTGTGTGACTTTCTACAGAGCAATAGTTTATTTGAGGATTTTCAGTCAGGATTTAGAGCTCATCATAGCACAGAGACAGCACTGGTGAAAATTACTAACGACCTCCTTATTGCATCAGACAAAGGACTTGTCTCTGTACTGGTTTTATTAGATCTTAGTGCTGCATTTGATACCATTGACCATCAGATTCTATTGCAGAGACTGGAATATTTCATTGGCATTAAAGGAACCGCTCTAAGCTGGTTTAAGTCCTATTGATCAGATCGATTTCAGTTTGTACATGTTAACGATGAGTCCTCCATGCACGCCAAAGTTAGTCATGGAGTTCCACAAGGATCTGTCCTCGGACCAATCCTCTTCACTTTATATATGCTTCCTTTAGGCAATATTATCAGGAAACATTCCATAAGCTTTCAGTGTTATGCAGATGATACTCAGTTATATCTATCGATCAAGCCAGATGAAACTCATCAGTTAGCTAAACTTCAAATGTGCCTTCAGGATGTTAAAACCTGGATGACCTGTAATTTTCTAATGTTAAACTCAGATAAAACTGAAGTTATTGTTCTGGGGCCCAAGCACCTCCGTGACGCATTATCTAAAGATATAGTTTCCCTGGATGGCATCGCCCTGGCCTCCAGCACCACTGTGAGGAATCTTGGAGTTATCTTTGATCAGGACATGTCGTTTAAGTCTCACATTAAGCAAATTTCAAGGACCGCCTTTTTTCACCTACGTAATATTGCGAAAATCAGGAACATCCTGTCTAAAAATGATGCAGAAAAACTAGTCCATGCATTTGTTACTTCTAGGCTGGATTACTGCAATTCCTTATTATCAGGCTGCTCGAAAAAGTCCATTAAGACTCTTCAGCTGATCCAGAATGCTGCAGCATGTGTTCTGACAGGAACCAGGAAAAGAGATTATATTTCTTCTGTCTTAGCTTCTTTGCATTGGCTTCCAGTTGCTGCTATATGCCTAGACTGCCGGGGGATTTCCCATGATGCACTGAGCTCCTCTCTCCTCTACTTTCTCTCCCTCTGTATGCAACCTCATCCCATTATTGCATGTTACTAACACAACTTCTCCCCTTTCTGGTAGTCTTGTGCTTTCTCGTCTCTCTCCTCTCTCCTCCTATCACTTCCTGCAGGTGTTCTGGCTCTGGAGCTGTGGAGTCTGGATCTGTGGTTGCGGGTCACCTGCTGCCCCCGTGTTCCTGCTCGACACCCTCTGCTGCAACAACTATTGTTACTAGTCCTATATTATTATTGTTATTATAATCATTAACATTATGACTGTTATCATTAACACTACTATAAATATCTGTACCATTTTTCATTTAGTCTATAGCAACATCACCTTTACTGTCTGTACCTCTGTGTATTTTGTGTAGGCTGCCTCTCTCTCTCTCTCTCTCGCCCACCCTGAGTCATGGTTCTGCTCGAGGTTTCTGCCTCTTAAAGGAAGTTTTTCCTTGCCTCTGTCTCCTAGTGCTGCTCTTGGTGGGAACTGTTGGGCTTCTGTAAATAACATCATAGAGTTCGGTCTAGACCTGCTCTTTATGAAAAGCGCTGTGAGATAACTGTTGTTGTGATTTGAAGCTATATAAATAAAATTGAATTGAATACCGTCATCATTTATGAGAATTCATAATATGTTAAACAGTCTACCTGTGCATAGGCCTGCATTGATGTTCTGCTGATTTTGCCCTTTCAGACCGTCTGCAGACACAGAAATGTTTGGGACTGGACTACTGGATGAGAGGAGGTAGACAAACAAAACTTACTTAAAACCCTTTTGATCAGACAAATCTCACCACAAATTCACATAAATGTTCAGTTCAGCACCTCAGATAAAGTGCAGCTCAGAATCCCAAACACAGCAAGTCTGCGCCTCAGATTTTAGATGTTTATTTTGCAAAACTCTTTCATTAGATGACATGTTTAAAATATGTTTTAATGATAATAATACATTCATAATCCTCTCCTGTAACCATCACCTTATCGTGGTGGAGAGATCTGCGTGCCCCGGTGAGCCTGGAGGCTGTGTTGTCTGGAGCCTAACACTCCTGGTAGGGTCTCCCAAGGCAAAGTGGTTCCAGGTGAGGGACCAGACTGAGAATGGTTAATAATAAAGTAAATAAAGTAATAAAGACGCCTGATAAAACAATGAGGAAGAGGAGAAGAGACCCTGCCCGGAGGAAGCCCGGGGCCCCCGTCTGGAGCCAGGCCCAGAGGGAGGGCTCGCCGGTGAGCGCCTGGTGGCCAAACAAACGTTTAACTGGACCATTGCCTGGATCAGGGTGATTAGGCCTCCCTCACGAAGAACTCTATCTCCCAAGACAGAACCACACAACTAAAATGGGGGCAGACGTGAACTGGGTTTTGAGTTTGACAAATGCAGTTTGGGCTTTAAATTGCTGAAGTTGCTTTCTTGTTATAGGGACCGACCTCCCCACTACTGCCTTGATCTTGCCTAGATCTGCCTTCATCTGCCCACTCCCAATGATGTATACCAAAAAACTTACATAGATGGAGTGGAATTTGCTCTGCAATCTGTTCTCCAGCAGCCGCTGGAGTACCTGGCAGACATGGAACATCTTCTGAGAGACTTCTAGAAAAAATCAAAATGTCAAGATAGACAAAGCGGTTCAAGAAGTTTGAGTACATCATTGACAAAGTTTTGAAAGGCAGCTGGGTTAGTTGACCCAAAGGGCTTTACCTGGTACTCAAAGTGACCAAGGGGGGTGTTGAATGCAGTTTTCCATTCATCTACTTCCTTTATTCGTACCATGTGGTATGTGTCGGAGATCCAACTTGGAAAGGTGGTGGCCTGCTGTAGTGGTTCGAAAGCTGAACTGATTAGTGGCATGAGTGCTTGTTTTTAACAGAGATGCTGTTGAAGCTGCGTTAATCAAAACAGGGGAGGAGAGTTTCATCTTTCTTCTCAACATAGAAGAAACCCGCACCAACAGTGGAGGAGGATGGACAGATCAGACCAGCTTTCAGGGAGTCCCAAATGTGAATTTTCATGGCCTCTCTTTCAGGACGAGACAGATTATAGAGTCTGCTTGATGGGAGTGGGCTGTCAGGGAGCAATTTAACTTTGATCCAGACTAGCCCACCAGAACTGGCCCCCAATATAAAATCCCCACAGGACAGAGAAATGTTGACATTCAGAGCTTCGCTATCATTAAGCACAAGATTTGAGATTTTCCACAAGCTAGTTTGAACACACAGTTCCTGTACTCTTTACCTTGTTTTTTTCTTCCTGGTACATTTACAAAACTGTAGCTGACCAACAGAATTTGCATTTCACTGATAGATTCTGATAACATGTTGTATTAACACATTCAGATGCATACCGTTCAGCTGCACACTGGCTTCACTGTCCTCTCTGTCTACTCTTTCACCCGTGATTCTTCCTCTTCCCGTTCTTAGTGTCTGTGGTACTAGTACTACTACTACTACGGAACGAGTCTGTTACAATTTTACATTTACTTGCATTTCAGCGAATACCTTTAACTCTTGTGTCTGAACTTTTCAGCCCAACCTTTTCAGCACTCCCCCCCACCACAGTATTAACATACCTACAGTTATGGAAAACACCCATCAGCTGAACGTGACTCAAATGGATGGTATTAAAGATTTATTGTGATTAATGAGAGTTTACATTTTATTCTGACTACTAAAGAATACCTGATGATGTATTGATGATTTATATTGAATATATGTTCAATTTATTTACACATTGAAAGTCAACAAATCATAATAAAAAAATGTACTTGAAAAAAATAATTAAACAGACAAATCACAGCTCAAAACTCAAATAAAAACAAACATTTACAAAAAAATTATTCAAATCTTCTCAGTTAACGGCACAAACAGAACGAAAAGCCTGTAATATGTCAATAAAAAGAGGAAATCTCCTCGACCTGTTAAACAAAGTGATTGTATGAGAATGAATGAGAACAAAGAGAGCAAATGAAAGAAAATGAGTGAAAGAGAAATGTGAGCTGACTTCAGATCAGAGTTAGACAATAAGAAGTCTAAAATGAAGCTGCTGAAGGAAAAGTGAGCTCAGCTACTGACGTCACTGCAGATATCAAGCAGACACATCAACAGATATATCCACTCAGTAAAGTGAGTTCTACTGATCGTGTTCCTGCAGGACAGGAAGTCAGCAGATCCACATTAAACACCGAGGAGGGAGTTCAGCTCAGCAGCCTTTACATTTAGAGGCTGAGCTCACAGATCAGGCTTTGGAGATGTTGGACATGAGTCTGGATGTTTTTCTTCACGCTGCAGCTCGGAGTCTTCCTCTTCACTGTCCTGTAAATGAGGACAGTTCATTCTTCACCTGAAGAAACTGATCAGAGACCTTCTGACACTGATCAGCTGACTGGAGGATGGAGGCTGTTAACTTTCTGTCCTCTTCAGGGGTCGGAGTGAGTCTGAAGACATTAACAAGAAGCACCAGCAGATCATTTATCAACCCCATCACTAATACAGCTACATCCACAGCTCCCTGACTCTCCTGTTTCAGTTCAGCCACTCGTCTGAGGATCCTCTGAAACTCCTCCATGTCTGACAGAGTGTTCTCAGCCTGAAATGCAGCTGATTCTTCCTCCAACCGTTCACACGTCCTCTTTATTTCTTCCAGCTCGTTCTTCAGTGGTTCAACAATCTCCAGGAATTTTTTCCCCTGCTTTTCTACTTCCTTTGCACTTCCATTCTCTGTCATTGTTTTTACTATGTTTGCACCAACAACAGTAGCTCCTCCTGCTGCTGCTCCTGCTGCTCCTGCTCCTAATAAGCTCAGCCCCCCCAGTAAACGGAGCTGCAAGGACCAAGACTCCAAGTCCAATTCCTCCAGCAACAACTCCTATTGTTCTGGCTTTATCTGTCTTCTCCTGCATCTTTCTGACTTCAGCGGCGATCTTCTTAAACTCTCCTACAACCTGTCTCATCCTGTCTTCACTGTTGTCAAATCTTCTGATAAATGAAGTTGCATATTTGATGAGTTTGTTCATTAATTCGGACAGATCAGGAGGCAGGTCTTTGCTAAATCTTCTTCTTGGTTTTGAGGCCATTGTCAGGTAGAGTTTCTCTGCTTCTAAGTCAAAGTTCAGTCTGCAGGTTTTCCTCTCTGCTGCTGCTCAGCTGATCAGAAAGGCTCTGTGGAGACAGAGAGAGACAGAGAGAGACAGAGAGAGACAGAGAGAGACAGGTGATACAGGTGATACAGGTGATACCCACACAGGTGTTTCCACTCAGGTTGTTCATGAAGTCAGCTGTCTGTCATCAGGAAACAAACACAAGGACTGTGGCTGCGGAACAGGGAGGAGACCATGAATTCATGAATCATGAAAATGTGTGATTTTATTCATCTTATTAAAGCTGTCAGTCAGATCTCTGCTTCTCCTTGCAGCTACTTTTCCTCTGAAACTTCTATCTTCATCTACACTAGGAAACAGGAAGAGCAGCAGAGCATGTGTTACTAACAACACTGCTGACACCATAAACCTGCAGCCAATGCAACACCAGAACAATGACTGACATCTATTGCACTTGCGCCAACCGTGCATGCAGCCTGTTGCAGTTACTCCTGTTCGTCATCTTATTTTCTAACCGTTTAGTTTTTCTATCTTAGGTGTGTGATTTTTTTGTTTATAAGTAATTTAAGCTACACTCTCTAATCATGAACGTTGAGAAATCCAACAAAGGTTTGAGGTCAAGGGCAACTGGACTCATCCAAGAGTTCTGACTGACTGTAGGGAAACTCAGCAGTTTAGCCTCTGGGATCGTTAGCTAGGATGGTCGATACCGCTGGTTCGTTAGTGCTCCTGGCTGTGGTAACGACAGTCGTCATGGTCGTTACAGCCACCCGTGGCCAAGACTGAACGACCATCGTTGGTATCTTCACCTGAGGCCAATAGGTTACGTTTGTTGAGTTTCCTGGGAAGTGATGAAAGGACAGCATTGTAAGTGGGGGATAAGTGGTGGCGTAGACCCCCTCCTCTGCTCAGCGACAGCTTCTCAACCCAGATGTAGATGCTTCCCCTGACACCTCTTTCAAACCATCCATCTTCTCTGTCTAAAATGTGCACCTGGTGGTCCTCAAACGAGTGTCCTTTATTGAGGTTAAATAGCTGAGTTTCCCTACAGTCAGTCAGAACTGAAAAGTCTCTTGGATGAGGGACGAAACGTCTTCTAGTTTCTTCTACCAAGTCCAGTTGCCCTTGACTTCAACCTTCGTTGGATAACTCTGACCTGGATGACTGAGAACCTTCACAGACATCGAACGTTGAGAAAGTTTTGGTCTGGCTGGTAGCCGTGAATTTGTTCCTTTCATTCAGTTACGACACTGTTTGCAGCAATTTCATGGCCGCTTTGTTTACACCCGGGCCCAGCTGATCAAGCTGAAGCAGTCCGGCATGGCGCTGCGGTCTACAGACATCCCCACTGAGATCTAGAGGAGGACACAGAGGATGCAGAGGAGCAACGAAACAACGAAGAGAGAGGGGTCCAGATACCAGAGACTTTAGAAAAGTAGATATAAGCAGCGTCTCTCATCATCTGGCAATGTGAGGTCTCTGGCTGATAAGATGGACAAGCTAACAGCATTAGTCCGCAGTCAGAGGGAGTTCCGGGAGTGTAGCTCAATGTGCTTCACAGAGACTTGGCTATATCAGGATATACCTAACCACAACGTTCCCATCAACTGCTTTCAGTCTATTGGACTGAAACAACACCTCTCTCCCTGCCTCTTCACCATCTACCCCATAGACTTCAACTACCACACAGAGTCCTGCCATCTTCAGAAGTTTTCTGATGACTCTGCTGTGGTTGGATGTATCAGCAGGGTGACGAGGCTGAGCACAGAGTTGTGGTGGGGGACTTTGTCACATGGTGTGAGCAGAACCATGTGCAGCTCAACGTGACAAAGACTAAGGAGCTGGTTGTGGATCTAAAGAGAGCCAAGGCACCAGTGAGCCCTGTTTCCATCCAGGGGGTCCCTGTGGACACTGTGGAGGATTACAAATACCTGGGAGTGCACATGGACAATAAACTGGACTGGGCCAAGAACACTCAAGCCCTCTATAGGAAGGGCCAAAGCCGTCTCTATTTTCTGAGGAGGCTGAGGTCCTTCAACATCTGCAGGACGATGCTGAGGATGTTTTATGAGTCTGTGGAGGCCAGTGCTGTCCTGTTTGCTGTTGCATGCTGGGGCAGCAGGCTGAGGGTAGCGGACGCTAACAGACTCAACAAACTGATCCGCAAGGCCAGGTACGTTGTGGGGGTGGAGCTGGACTCTCCGTCGGTGGTGTCAGAGAGGAGGATGCTGTCCATGTCATCTTGGACAATGTCCCCCACCCACTGATTGGAGTCTGTTCTGTTACTAATAAAGTCTCAGTTATCAGTGCAGAGCATCAGATTCTCTCTGCAGCTGTTTAACAAACACCTGCACATGAAGAATTACAGGTTTCTGTGTCCTGCTCAGAGGATCATTTCTGCTCGCACAATACTCATTATCTGCATTTATATTTAGTGTTGCTAATTAGCAGAGTTTCAGGAGCGGAACCACGCATCAAGCACGTCATCGCCAGCATTTCAATAAATACCCACACGTCCTAAGTCCTCCCCTTCACCCTTGTATCCTGCATGGCTCTCGCATTCCGCAGACAAACCGAGACCAAGCAACATCGGGGTGGTGATGGAGTAGTGGATAAGACACATGCCTTTGGTGTGAGAGACCTGGATTTGAATCCACTGTGAGACACCAATGTGTCCCTGAGCAAGACACTTAACCCCTAGTTGCTCCAGAGGTGTGCGACCTCTGACATACACACAAATTGTAAGTCGCTTTGGATAAAAGCGTCAGCTAAATGAATAAATGCAACATCACGTTGAGTACGCCACGCTAACATCCAGTAATGCAAATTATTACAAGCTACTTCCATCCACTTACCTCTTCGAGAAGTGTCGGCACATCGTTCTCCGCATTTGACGCTGAATTATTCGGACGGACTCAAGACATCTTCTATGTTCACGTCAGCAGACCCAGCACCAGAAGCCGAATTCTCTCCTCCGTTCAAGCTTGAGGCCCATTGCACCCAAAGAATCCCCTGCCTCTCGTCAAACAGCTGATCACAGCGTTTCCACGCGCCAGCTAGGTCCCGGGTCAAACACTCTTCACGAACAAGCAAGACACAAACTATAGCCGCTCTTCAGAAAACGTTTAAAAATGTAATAAGTCCCATTTAGACAACAGACAATACAGCAAATTTCTCAAGTTATCATGTCAGCGTGCCATGCATTCAGTTCCGTCAACACCAGCTCCTTTCCAGGTGGCACATTACGCACGCCGTGACGTCAGCGCCACTGTTAAAGGGACAGTTCACATATTACTTCCATCTCAAGATAGCAGAGAAGCCAGTGCCAAAGCAAAACAGGACGTCAACCAACACCAGAATTCCAAGACCTCCCCCTCTCATCAGGGTTGACCGCACCAGCAGCCTACATCACACAGGACAACCACATTGAGTAGTCAGCACCCCACCATCCAGCTCCCGAAGCTTCAGATACCCAGCACTGGGATATGCCAGCACCCCGGCCGTCTACATCTACCAACCACAGCAGCACGCTTCATTAGGGGACTTCGGCACTGGGACACCAGCGCCACAGCTGGACACTTCCAGCAGCTACAGCTGCCAGTTCCATAGGGGCCCCCAGCACAGAGATGCTAGCGCCTACAGTCGTACACCTCGAACAACCTCAGCAGCCGATTTCAGTAGGGGCATTAGGCACCGGGATGCCCACAGTCTGGTCCCATCAACCACTAACCTGACAAAACGGTCCGTTACACAGAACCACCCGAAAAGTAATTGACGGAAACCGTTTCAAATGTTGTTCTTCGCTTATCTTTCAATAATAATCTCCAGTTCTGTCAGAACTGATGCTACCAGCATACAAGCTAACCACTTAAGTACAGTTGTTTCAAGTTCATTACAAGCTCAGTCATTTCAAGCTAACTTCAAACAGCCGTTCCAAGCTAAGTTGAGCTAACAGCAGTTTCGAGCTAACTTCGAGCTAGCTAATAGTCGTTTCAAGCTAACTTCGAACTACCAGCCATTTCGAACTAACTTTGAGCTAACAGCCGCTTCAGCTTACAGCCGTTAAGAGCTTACTTCGAACTAGCTTATAGCCGTTGAGCTTACTTTGAGCTAACAGCTGTGTCGAGCTAATTTTGAGCTAACAGCCGTTAGAGCAAACCTTGAGCTAGCTAACAGTAGTTTCGAGCAAGCTAACAGTCGTTTCGAGCTAGCTAACAGTCGTTTCAAACAGTCTAGCAAACAGTTGTTTTTAAGCCAAGTCGTTTCAAGTTAAGAGTCATTACCTAGCTAAATTGTTATCTAACCACGTCGTTTCAAGCAAACAGTCGTATCTAGCTAAGTTGCTTCGAGCAAACAGCCGTCATCATATTAAGACGCTTCGAGCAAACAGTTGTTTAGAGCCATAGTCATTTCATGCCATAGTTGTGTTGAGCTAACAATCGTCTTGAGTCATTTCCTAGCTTAGCCACTTTCCAACTATGTCATTGCAACCACTCATCTTCTAGCTAATTTGGTTTGAGCTATAGTCATTTTCAAGTAAACGTTTGTTTCTTCTTAAGTCTTTCAAGCTAACAGTCATTTCCTAGCTTTCGAGCAAAACTAGTTTTGAGCTAATATTCATTTCGAGCTAACATTTGTCTCCAGATAACAGTAGTTTTGAATGAATAGTGTTTCTAGTGAACAATCGTTTCAAGCCAACATCCAGCTAACAGTCGTTTCCATTAATTTAAACCATGCCATTCAGAGCCAATGTTGTCTCAATGGATATTCGTTTCGATCGAACAGCCGTTTCAAAGCAAAGTCATTCCAAACAAACCGCAATTTAAACTAAAGTTGTTTTGAACGAACAATTGTTTCAAAATTAAAGGGATCTGGCACCGGGACGCCGCTTACTCCCAGTCATCTCTAACCTGACTGCGTCAGTCAGTTCGTTACATAGAACCATCCAATTTGTGGTTGGAAACAGTTTCAGGTTAGTGTAGTCGGGTCATTAGGCACCGGGATGCAAAAAACCCTCTCACCCCACATCAATCAATCTCTGCAAGTCGCTTCAGTCTGGGA